TGAGAGTACACACTTGCGTGTACAGTTATACAGAATTTTCTGGGAGTGTTTCTGCTACTGTTACATTTTTTGTAGTGCTGTGGCTAATGTTGGTTTGTTTTCTTCAGTAATCCTTCTGGTGTGGATAGAGCCCAGGGCAGGGGTCCGAGAGGATGAGAGAGGATATTTTTCATATGTAGATTGCGTTCTTGTGCCATTACAATGATACGAACAAATATAGATCTGTCTTCTTTCAAGATAATTGCTCTCCCACTTGATTTCACTTCCTTTTTCTTACACATATTAATGAATGTCTTCAGCTTGTTTTAATCGGTTCATGGAATTTTTTTTACCGGTGGATCATTCTCTAGTCTTTCATTCCTGAAAGTGGCATAGTTTTTCTCTCCAATCTCATATGCCTTCATGAGGTCAGAAGTGATGTGTCTAGGGACTGCCTTTGTTGTAGAGGTACTAATGAGGTCATTCTTCTGATCAAATGGGTCGACCCAACTTTGGATGAGCCCAACAACTGCTGACACAGCTGCATTGTGGAGTTCAGATTTAGTATCTTGCACCATATCCCTTAATTGTCCCACTGCGGTGCTCAGCTGTTATATAGTACTTGCTGAACAGAGTTGTCCTCCAGGAATTTGCGTGTCTTTATTTACTGTGATCTCAGAGATCTGGTCTACAGGAATACACCCAAAAGGGTTGTTGCTAGACATCTGCACTGAAAATCTTCAGATGTATAGGGATGTGTCTCTGGAAGATTAGTCATCTGTGCATAATATGGAGACAGGTACCTGGCATAGTTGATCTTATCGTATGCTAAACACCATGGTATCATTGATATTATGGCATTTAGGTGCAAATCCCAGTTCCCCCCACGAGAAGCACGCAAAAGTCCAAGTAATACATTCTCCACCATGTCTAGGTAGGACATCAAGTATGCCGAAAACTCTCCATTGTTATGACGTAGGTGTTCCAGGAGTCTTTCCAGGGGGTCATTACCTCTGGTAAAAGTGGGCTTTGTAGAAGATTGTCAAAATTAAGTTGGTTCAATTCGCTGGTCATGCTGCTCACCTGGTCTACAAATGACTTAATCATATCACTCCTTTCCTGAATGTTGTCACATAATAAACTCTGACCTGTCTCATCAGGGCTTCATAGACGTACTTGTGGACTCTTACAGCGTGATTGTAGAGTTTACTCTCTAGGATCCCATTGATAGAACAACTATCAGCAACTATCTTGGCTTCTATACAGATGTCCTTTAAACCTGCATCCCGAAATCGTTTACCTAGGGTAGTTAGAAAATTACAGATAGCACACCGGATGACATCCACGCGCGCATTAGTTTTCGCCTTTTCTCAAAAAAAAAAAAAAA